AATACCTGCGTAGACCTTAACAAACATGTATCTCCCTGATTGTGCCTCCTCTGAAATACATGGCCTAGTGAATTCCCAGTAATAATCCTGCTTCTTGCTAGATAAAGTTTCTCTATGAATATTCTCCTCCAATGAATGGCCTTTGCCGGTTTCTTTCTCTTTTTGCCCGTGTTCCACACACATGGCTTTGAAGTGGAAGGAGAAATCACAGTGTAGCCATTATTCTTTGCAAAGTCAATGATTTTTAAAAGAAGAGCAGAAATATGGGCACATCTTGCAAGTGCTGAGGCTTTACAATTGCATTTAGCAAGCTGAACTGACCCACTGATGCTTGACAGGCCAATAACAACATTTAATGGCACATCATTCTTCATTGAGTGGTGCACATGGGCACGTACAAAGTAGGAATCCTCGATTTTGTTGTCTTGAATGTCACTTATGAAATCACTTTTCATCAAATTCATACCTTTTCTAAGCGGTTTTGCAGTTGCTGTATAACCAGTATTGCTTTCGTTGTTGCTGTCTTCGTCATTGTTTCCTGTGGCAAACTGTGAGATGGACTCGACTAGGTAATGGTAAACGTGGCCATAGTTAAACATACTCGGTATGTCACACGAAGGAAAGCTTTTCCAATCTTCACCAGGAATTTTCCAAACTGCAGGGGCATCTTCGACTTGTAAGCTTGATCTTTTTATATCGTACCATTTTCCACCATCAACCTTAGGGTCTATTCCTGCCTTTGTCTCAATAGCACCCCTCACTCTGTCTATCAAATCTTGTTTCTTTCCCGTCCGCTTTACACCATGACATTCGAGCCATCGTTTCAACTCTACCACAGAATACTCAGCTGGATCTTTAGAAAAGCATGCACCAGGAACATCTCTTTCGACCAAAATAACATCTTCCATAGCCAATGTAACCCGAAAGGATCAATGCTTGCAAGTTTCGCGATCGAGTATTCACTGAAACATATAGGCCGAAGGTACGATTGGCGTGTTGTTTGTCCGATCTTCGATCCCATCACGCATTGCGTCAAAAGACGTGACGTCAATCGAATAAAGCGCTATTAAAGACAGCATAAAATCTGGTTGTTCTAATGTGGAAATAATTTTCATTGTGTTTTTGTGTACTAGATCATTCAACACCAAGGTCTCCACCCAAGAGGGCAATATTACAATTGCAGTTTCTTTCCCCAATTAAAGACAGCATAAAATCTGGTTTTTCTTATGTGGAAATAATTTTCATTGTGTTTTTGGGTACTAGATCATTCAACACCAAGGTTTCCACCCAAGAGGGCAATATTACAATTGCAGTTTCTTTCCCCAATTAAAGACAGCATAAAATCTGGTTTTTCTTATGTGGAAATAATTTTCATTGTGTTTTTGTGTACTAGATCATTCAACACCAAGGTCTCCACCCAAGAGTGCAATATTACAATTGCAGTTTCTTTCCCCAATTAAAGACAGCATAAAATCTGGTTGTTCTAATGTGGAAATAATTTTCATTGTGTTTTTGTGTACTAGATCATTCAACACCAAGGTCTCCACCCAAGAGGGTAATATTACAATTGCAGTTTCTTTCCCCAATTAAAGACAGCATAAAATCTGGTTGTTCTAATGTGGAAATAATTTTCATTGTGTTTTTGTGTACTAGATCATTCAACACCAAGGTCTCCACCCAAGAGGGCAATATTACAATTGCAGTTTCTTTCCCCAATTGAAGAAAACAAACAATCTGATTCTTCTAATGTGGAAAAAGGTGTTAATGAGTCAGGAGCAGTTGGTGTGAGCACATTGAATGAAAGCTTGCACAATCTAAAGCTAACTTCATTTAACAAAAATTACAACGTATATGGTGGAGATCCATTTGAAAGATGCTCTTCAAGTAGCTCTCTTGGGAGTGAAACAAATTCTGACAGTGAAAGCTCATACAGTTATACATTGACTTATTGTCAGTCTTTCCTCACAGTCCTTTTCTTTCATGTCAAACATCAAATTTTGGTGTCATCAATTCATAATTTAACAATTATATATAGCTGTGGCTCTTTTTATGTTCTTGATTTGTTTTGCAAAGTGGAATAAGCATGAATTTTTGAAGGAACAAACTGGGGTTCGATTACAACCAAGAGTGGTTCAATAGGATTGGGCAGCACCATTCCTGTCAGCCTCTGCCCTTTGGTTTTGTATATAAATATAACTTTAAGTTATCTATTCTTTTGGTAAAGTACTGTTTTTAAAATATGCTATAGGCTGTTGATCTATTGTTGTAAAGATTAAACAAATTTTAAAAAATATGTTTAATTTTCTTTTGAAATGGTTTTTTCACAAACATTTCATATATAGCACTTAACTGCTTTTTGGAAACAAACATTTTGCTATATACATATATAAATATATCATAGATTGAAGAAAGTAAAACTACATGGTTTATCTCTACAAGCCTGTTTCGTGAGTAACTCACTCTTCAGGAGAATATATAAATATTTTTTATATATAAATATATATATAGAAATTTGTTCTTTGATACTTCCGCAGTACAGTGCTCAATACGTTAGCACGTAGAGCGTGATATATCATAGAGTTGAAGAAAGTAAAACTACATGGTTTATCTCTACAAGCCTGTTTCGGCTTGCAGAGACAGGCTTGTAGAGATAAACCATGTAGTCTTATTTTCTTCAACTCTATGATGAATATATATATATATATTTTGCTCTTTAGTGATTCTTCATCTGATAGTGAATCCGATGATTCAGAAGCAAGTGAGCATTGTGAATTTGATGATGATGGAATGGATGAAGAGATGGTCAAAGAATTTGAGATGAACAGAAGTGGATACGAAACTGGGGACGTTGATCTTGATAGGACGTTTACCACAAATGTAACATCAGCTGCCACAGTTGTGGAGGACATGGATTTAAATGAAAAAAATTCTACAACTGATGGTATTCTAAGTGCTAAAATTGCCAGCAATGCCGAAATAGTTTCCAAGAAAATGGAATCAGTGTTTCAAGATTTGTTTGCTGCAAAGAATGAAGCTGCCTATTTTGTAGACATGCCGCGAGTGGTTGTTACAACTGAACAACTAAAAAAGTTTAGAGGAAATATTTGCTACCATATATTAGAGAATGGAGATATTTGTAAAGAACATCTCACTTTTGATGCTGATTTAAAAGGTTCAAATCTGCACTTAAGGTGGATGTGTGTGGCAGGTCATAGGGGATTGTGGTTGTCATCAGAAGTTTTAACAACTTCACACAATGCTGTTGTGTATGCTAATGATTTGTTGATTGGGGCTTGTGTTTTGTTGTCAGGTAACAACTACCAAAAGTTCCCGTTGTTATGCAAATTTTTAAACCTTGCTGTCCCAAGTCAGAGTACATTCACTCGTTGTCAGTGGTTGTTTTATGCACCTGTAATTTTGGATGCTTGGAAAGGGATGAAAGAGAAGGTTCTGGATGTTTTGAACCCATATGAAGACATTTGTTTGCTAGGTGATGGGAGAAATGATTCTCCAGGATTTAGTGCCAGGTACTGTGTGTATGTGATCATTGAACATGTTACTGGTGTCCTTGTAGATTTAGAAGTCCTGGATAGAAGAGAAACTGGGGGTCATTCACCAAATATGGAAAGAGAGGGCCTAACACGACTTTTGTTACGTTTGATGCACGAAATAGATATTACAGAAATTGTAACAGATGCATCCAGCTCAATTATCAAAAGGATTAAGGAACTGCAAGGTAAACAAAACACTGAATTTATTATTAACTGAGTTTGCAAAATACATCCAAAATTTTTGTTCCTGTCAGTGGACTAGATGTTCTATTTAACTAGAAATATTATTGTTGTCTGTTATTTTTTTAATGTACTCTTTAATTAATTTTTGTGCTTCTCTCCACAATCTTATCAAGCTGATTTTCTGACCTGATTTAAGAGTTATTTGTACTTGGGTGAAAAAATGATTTCTGTGACACTTGTAGTAAATTTTAAAAATTGGTTCTTAGATTTATTTGATTTGACTAAAGGTTTCCTAAGTCTATAAACACCAAATCTTTGCTAATTAATACTCTTGTCATTCTGGTAGCTGTGACTCAAAATTTCGCAATTCTAGAAATTTTATTAGCAATTCTAGAAATAAATTTTATATTTATAGGAAAGTATCCAAGGCTTCAAGAACTACAACACAGTTTAGATGTTTGGCATAAGGCTAAAAGTCTCAGCAAAATGCTCCACAAAGCTGCAAAAGATAAGGAAGCAGCAGCACTAAAGCCGTGGATACCCAGCATCATCAACCACTTCTGGTATTCCTGTCAAATTGCAAATGGAGACACAGAAAAGTTGAAGGATTGCTGGTTTGGTGTGGTCCACCATGTTTGTGGGGAACACACATGGTCAGGTTCAGCCTGTCTTCATGGTCCAAGTACCAGTTCAGAGCCCAAGCAGGTGCTTGAGAAGAAATCAAAGCCAGCTGAAGCCTTGCGTGCTGTTGTCTTTGACAGGAAATTCCTTACAAACTTTGAAATGTACACAAGTTTCAGGCACACTGGGTCAATTGAAACTTTAACAGCATGCTTACAAAATATGCACCAAAAAGGATTGCTTTTGAATATATATATTTTGTTTGCCGCATGGCTTTAGCTGCAATAGACCATAATATGCATCTCCACAGGCCATTTGCAAAGACCAAGGATGGGAAGGAAATTTTTAAGGTTAAATATAGCAAAAGGACAAAGTCGCACCATGCAGAACCTGTGAAGGTTGATAAAGAATATGCATATATTCCGCACTTACTGGCAAAAATTTTGCAATGTCGCAAGGAAAGCACTGCTTCTGTACTGACCAGAAACATTCGTAGTGAGAGAGATCCTAAGAATATAGCCCCATTGATAGATCCTATGGTTTTACCACCAACTAAAGATTTGCTTGTAAAGGAACATTACAGTAGATTTGCCAAGAAGTAGACTAGCCTTGTATCTTGTATTCTTGACCACTTACCATGACAAATTTTGCCAAATATATATACTATGTATTCTTTTATTTGTCCCATATGCCCATTTTCAGTGTTGAAATCCAAGGAAAAACTGTAAAAAAATTAAGGTAACCGACCTACTTTTGTCAAGGAGAAAACAAGAATAAGCATATTGAAACACACAATGTCAAAACCCTGTAACTCCAAGAGACTTTTTATAATTTAGACATAAGGATATAGCTAATGCAAAAATATAAGAATTAACATGAACTGTATATGACAAATGTCAATGTCAGGATTCTTTATTTTCAGATAGTGATCTTAGTTTCGTTTAAATCCCATATATTGATCATTAGGATCTGGGTATGATTTTCTGATCATTGTCACTACACATGAGGGCAATATCCTTCTGTTCAAACGACCAAGTTTCCCATATTTCCACAGTGCATATTGCTGATAGGCAGCTTTTCTCAATGAATTTGTCGTGAATTTGATTGGTTCAGCTCTGAGATCACACCTTGCTAAAATTTGAAGCCTGAGGACATCCCTGTCAATGCAGATTTTACGAAAGATCTGGTAGGATGTGACACATACTACCCTGTCACAACATCTATTTTCATCAGGGTCAGGCATTGCAATGCAAACACCACATTTGCACCATGGCTCACCATTCACATGTGCAATTGGCATTTCCAGGTGTGAAATTGAGTGCACAAGGTCTTTGATGTAACTGGCACTTCCTTCCCCTATAGCACCCATCTCTACAACAAGTTGCTGTAGAACTTCATGAGGGAGATCTTTTACAGCTTCCTATAAAAAAAACAATTTATCTTTTCTTTTGCTTTACTGACTCCGCTTCTCGATTTGTCTACCACAGGGATTCAAACAAGTACAATTGTTTCACAGGTGAAATGAATTAAATTGGTAGTTACCCACGAGGTTTAAATAAATTACTGGCCCTGATGCCCCCTTTTACAAAGCAGCATGTCAATTTCCTACTGGATTAAACCTCATAACAGATTCTGCAAAAATTGCTACTATTTTTAACAATTTTTTTGTCAATGAAGCAGATGGTGTCACAAAAAGAAAACCTAGGTCACCAAAATCCCCCTTAGATTATCTTGATAATGAAAATCCCAGCTCATTTTTTATAACCCCTTCAGCCCCTTATGAAATATCAGCTATAATTGGTGCGTTAAAAACTGGCAAATCCTTAGGCCCCAATAGTATACCCATAAAGTTACTAAAAATTCTGTCTCCACATATTTCTTCTGTTCTGTCCCATATTATTAATGAATCATTCCAATCTGGTATTTTTCCTGAAAAAATGCAGCATGCAAAAGTCATACCATTATTCAAAAAAGGCTGTCCTGTAACAGTTTCTAACTACAGACCAATATCTCTCTTGTCAGTTTTCAGTAAAATTTCAGAGAAACTTATGTACAAGCGCTTATACAATTTCTTAGAAGTTCATGAAATCTTGTACAACCTTCAGTTTGGTTTTCGTGCTTCTCATTCAACAAATCATGCCTTGATTAGTCTATAGGCGGGTTTACACGATCGTTTTTCCTTAAATTTTTTTTCGATATTGGACCGCGATGAACGACAACGATCGTGTAAAAGGCTAAATTGCTGAAAAAAGTTTGATGCTATCTGTCGTTTTTAATCCGCTTAATTGGCGATAATGATCCATCGTTGAAGATTTTATTTTGACTCCTGGTCAAAATAAAATCTCTACCATCATTTTTTTTCAAAGGGGCCGACAAATTCTGACGTCATGTCAGCCTCGGGGAGAGAATTTCGAGACTTTTTACTAAGTATTGGGGTGAAGAAAAGATTGGATTCATGCTATGAGAACTAAAATAGTCGGGGAAGGTAGTTAAAACGGGCAGGGGACTATTTTTAGATAAAAAGAGGTTCGGGTTTTACAAGTTTTCTTTGAGAATGGCCCTTCATTAGCTACACATTAAAGGTTTTGAGCAACAGAAATAGAGAACAATCCATCCAGTAGACAAAATGCTCAAATAAAAGATTATCTGGACCTCGCCGGGACCATAAAAATGTTCTGCGAATATTTCCCTAATTTTTTCGGCCTAAACTTTAGGCTTATTACCCTTTAGTCTAGCTGGTAAAGGTTCCAGAAAAGAGCCAGTGTTACTCTCCCTCCATCGCCCATCAATCACGTTGTCATCCAATCATTAAATGTGTAGCTAAGGACGGGCCATGCTCAAAGAAAACTTGTGAAACCCGACCCTCTTTTTATCTAAAAATAGTCCCCTGCCAGTTTAAACTACCTTCCCTGACTATTTTAGTTCTCAGAGCATGAATCCAATCTTTTCTTCACGCGAATACTTAATAAAAAGCTCGAATTCTCTCCCCGAGGCTGACATGACGTCAGAATTTGTCGGCCCCTTTGAAAAAAAATGATGGTAGAGATTTTATTTTGACCCTGAGTCAAAATAAAATCTTCAACGATGGATCATTATCGCCAATTAAGCGGATTAAAAACGACAGATAGCATCAAACTTTTTTCAGCAATTTAGCCTTTTACACGATCGTTGTCGTTCATCGCGGTCCAATATCGAAAAAAAATTTAAGGAAAAACGATCGTGTAAACCCGCCTTAACAGAATATACTAAAAATTCCCTAGACAATAAACACTTTGGATGTGGAATCTTTATTGACCTACAAAAAGCTTTTGATACAGTCAATCACCAGATTCTCCTCAATAAACTTGAACATTATGGTGTACGAGGTACTGCTTTGGCATGGTTTAGCTCTTATCTTAGCAATAGCAGTCAGTATGTATCTGTAAATGGCCTGAACTCTAGTCATCTTAATGTTACTTATGGTGTTCCCCAGGGCTCTGTCCTTGGTCCACTTCTTTTTATCATCTACACTAATGACCTTCCAAACTCCTCTAACAAGCTATTTTCTATCTTTTTGGTGATGACACAAACATATACTTTGAATCTGACAATCTTAGTAAACTAGAGAAAGTAGTAAACAAAGAACTTAAGAATGTTAAAAAATGGCTTGATGCTAATAAACTTGCATTAAATATAGACAAAACAAGCTTTGTCATCTTCCATTCTCCTCAAAATTTTTTAGATAAAACTGTCAACATTAAGATTGGTAAGCAGCATGTTAATCAGGGTAAATATGTTAAGTTTCTTGGTCTCCTTTTGGACGAAAACCTCAATTGGAAATATCACTTGAACGAACTTTCAAAGAAGTTAGCAAGAACTAGTGGTATATTCTTCAAAATAAGGCATCTTCTGCCTACTAGCGTCCTAGTTTCTTTGTATTACTCTTCATTTGCCTCTTTTCTTCAGTATAGAATCATTGTCTGGGGTCTTACCTATGACACCCACATCAAACCGATTTCCCTTCTACAAAAGAGAATTGTTGGGGCTATTGCTTTCAAGAATTTTACATCACCATCTACACATCTCTGAACTGAAAATTCTAAAGTTAAATGATTTATTTTACTTCAAGCTACTTATCTTTGTGTATGAATCTGTTCACCTGATTTCTCCTACCTTCTTCCATAATTTTTTTGAAACTTTGTCTACCGTTCATGAATATGATACAAGGCAGGCTCGCAAAGGTGATATTTTTATGACGCGCAAGAATACTTTGCAATATGGCTTACGATCTATTAAATATGCAGGCGCTAAATCCTGGAACAACATTCCATCCAATATTAAACAATCTACTTCAGTAGTGATTTTCCGTCGTGATCTGAAATTGCATCTGTTCTCAAGTAAGTACCAATTCTGAATACCTTGATAAGATAATTCTTCCTTACATTGATCAATCGAATCACTAGAAGATTTCATAAATTGAATGATAAGTTTTTAGCTTAGGGGGTGCTCTCTCCTCGATTAGTCTACCTACTGAGAGAGCTCCTCCTTAAGAAATTCCTCTCCATACGAAATTCTATGTACTCTTATTGTCAAATTTGTCATTTTTTGCCATCTGTTTTAATTTGTTATTCTAGTTAATTGTATGTGTTTTAGAAAGATTTTTGTATGTAGTGGAATTTTAAAATCAAAACTGAACTGAACTGAACATCAAATGAAAACAAACAGTTATGATGACCTTTAATGCAATCCAAGGAAGAATGCAAATGTTGTTACATAAATATCCAAATGTTGTTTCATACCTTTTTAAAAACACTTTAACTGCCAAGAAAATGTCCTAAGTGCTCTTGTACTTCAAAAAATCAATATACCTAAATTATTCCTAAACATTCGCTGTGGAATAGATTTTCAAAAGTCTTTTTTCGTTGAGATGTAGTTAAGGTTACGGTAAACGTTTTCTGGATGAAAACATCATTTTTTCGATTTTTTCACATTCAACCAACCGAACTTTCAAGGCACACAATGATACCAAATTTGGAACAAACAGAAATTTTGAAAGTGGAAAAAATCCCATGTAAACGAAGGTTTCCATAATTTCTTTATCAAAACTTTCAGTTGAGGCCTGAAAATCTCTTGACCTGTTAAGCCGATTATCGATGCTTTGCGGTTGTGGTCGCATGTCTCATTTACAATATCGCATGGCACATCCATATATCCAATGTACGGCCGTGTTTATTTAAACAGGCTTATTGATCTTAAATCTTCAAGTGACTTGACCGGGATTACACTGTGGTTTACGAGTGTATCTTGCAAGTGCAATCAGTAAAATCCCGTTTTCTCCGGACTCGAAATTCCTCTACATGCAGGTACGAAAAAGCTATTATGTACCCAAGAAACCAATCGAATGGCTCGAAAATTTGCACACGGCCAGGGCAGACGTTGGGCAAACAAAGGGTGTCTCAAAATTGTTTTATTTTCTCTGGTCCGTCTTTTATACCCAAATACAGCTGCGGGAAGGTGGAAAAATTATTTGCCAATTTTTGACAGGGTATAGTTTCAAGAAGAGGAGGATTTTACAAAATCTGAGATACACTTTGGTAGCTTAGGACCTGTACTTCCTGCTGGTCTAAGTCAGATTTTGTTACCTCAAACGCAAGGGTACATAATAGCTTTTGAAGGTGGTACACTTTTTGACCAGTAAATTCGCATGGAAAATAACAGTTAACATTATTTGCCAATAATTTTTATCTGGCTAGATACGCCATAATATTGTGCATCGAATGATATATAGTTTATCCAGATTCCTTGAGCCGTTTGGCCTTTAGGAAGGAAAAACCAATTTTCGTGTTCAAAACGTTTACCGTAACCTTTAGTCAGTTTACTTATATTTTCTGTGTTTCGATATTCCGGCTTTGTATTGTCTATGTAACTTGTTGGGTCACAAAAAATGACTATAAATGTGTTGTTAATTGGTGGAACATTAATTCCTCAAAATTTACCGTTTTGTGCGAGCAATCAAACATCGTTGGTTTTGCATGAGTGATGGTGCGATCAGGAGTGATTGTTCTCGTCAAATGAAAAGGACTGAGTTTGTTTTAATTTCTCCCTTGATAACTACCAGAAGTAAATATAAAAAATCAATCATCTATTTATTTATAATTTAGGCTGAAGAATTGTACAAAATGAGAGCACTTTTAGGTTTTAATCTTGATTGGCAATATACCAGGGCTCCTTTTACTTGAAGAGAGGTAATTTTACCATCACAGCTTGTGTGGGTGTGTAGAATCAAGGTTTTAGAATTATTTCAGAAAAATGAGTTAAATCTGCATTACTATTGTTTCGGTTACAAATAATAATGAATTAAAGCAGTGTGTCAATCACTTGCTATTTGTAATGTACACACATGCAATGCCTCTGTTAATTTAGATTGACATTTGGCAATGTAGACCTTAACCATAACAGATCTACTCATTTTTTATGTTTATATGCCAACCTTGATCAGTCCTAATGTTGACAAATTGGCAAAACAGTTGAAAGTTGTGTTTGATATTAATTGTTACATTATTGTTCTGAGGAAAGCAAATTTTATTTTGTCGACATTTAGACACACTTGCAGAGGTATTGCTCACCGTAAAACATTCAAGGAACTTGAGTTAATTTTTTGCAAATGATAAATGGGACCAACTTGCACAATTTTTCTCTCAAAATTTCTGAGTTTGTTTTATAAAAAAAAGTTCATTAAATGTAAGGATTGTCCTAATGCATTGTCCTTTTTGCCACAATGGTAAAAACATGAAATTATTTATATGTATTAGTAATTTAGCTTTGACTTTTCTGGACCAGTCAACTAGATATCAGGTAAGGCAGGGGCGACTGGGAGCAGTATTAGCGTTATGAGTCTAATAGCAATTTTTATTCAGCAAAGGCTCTCATAATTTACTGGTCATATATCTTTAAAATAAAATAAGCACTGGAAATCCTTGGCAAAAACAGTTTATTTGGACTGCAAACTGTTTTCCTGCCATTTTGCAATGATATGGCATTATATGGCCATGGTAGAGCGAGCTACTCTTGAAACTGATTTGTTGATTCTTTCAAAAAAGACCTCCCTCCTACGCTTGTCGCGACACTTATTGTGACGCATTCATCTGGCGGCCTCAAACAAATACTACAGCCACAGCCCTGAAATTTTGCTATTAGGTTTGTGAATCCTAATAGCAACTTTCATATCCACCTTTGTTTGTGTCTCCTTGTGTGACGTAAATTGGCCAATCATGCTGTTGTGAAAGACCCAATATATGCGGACTTGCTATTAGCCGGGTCACTTCTAATAGCAAGATTCCCCAGTTCACTCTTCCGTGCATGTGGTATATTGCGTTTAAAATAAATCATATGGCGGTTTCTAGTTTACGTTGGGTGTTTTAACGACATACTGACAGACAATCCTTTCTTCACAACAACAATAAACACACCAAAAGCTACTTCGTTTAAATATTTGAAAGATAGCGCTCTCTTAATATTTTGGTGAAGCGATATGTAGTTTATTCTCAGGCTGTTACGTTAGTTTCATCGAAAATCCAAATCTGCACTTAAATTGAATTGAAAAATATGGTGCTTTGGTTTTTTATGTTAACAATGAGCATTTATCAGAAATATTTGAGTATTTCAATGTACGATACTTGCTGATATGATTTTGCTTTTAAAAGACGGCCGTTAATAGCAACAAAAAAGAGGCTACGGCTACGGACAGAGAGCCTTGTCATCGACAGCTGATGATATTCATCTGCAGCCCCCAGGCCGTCGAAGCCAAAGCCTACAGTCCTAATTGAAAGACTGAATGTGTAGAAATGACTTCGGAACTGAAGATATATTCCAATAAAGGTTGTTTTAGTAGAAATTTGAGAGAATGTCTCTGAATTTTATTTAGAACTAAGAAACGTGCTGCAACTTTACAATATTTTTAGGATTAGTATCAAATTCAAAATTATAAGTCTGACAAGTCTGACAATGGGCCTTATTGCTCTAGAGATCAAGTAACCTCCGCCTGGCCCTCCCCTCCCTGATTTTTTTGCTTTTCTCTTTATGACTATGAGAAAGAGAGCGTTACAATAGAAAATGGCAAAGTGTTTTCGACATGCGGCCAAGAAAATCAAGATGTAACGATGAGGTAGAGCATAGAAAAAGACAGTGCAATATTAAAAACAACCATTGAAGAGGGTGTGGTTGGAAGTAAAAACCGAGGCAGCCACGCCCTGATACCACGATTTTCTCTAATAGCAGTTTAAAATCTCTCCCAGCCGCCCCTGAGGTAAGGGTTTACATGCCCCCTAGGATATAAACTTGTGACCTTTCGTTTATCTGGATGGACTATGTCCACCCTGATTATTGTACCATAGCCCAGCAGAAACTACACCCCATATGAGGGCTGCCTGTATCTAACCAAAACTTGCATGCAAGGAACTCAGCCATCTTAATCGTATTAGAAATCATCCTAATGAAGGTTATCATTAATTAAAGTGACTGTAACTATTATCATGGAAGTGTGACATTTATCGTGAAAGAATAATGTTTCAAATAAGAAAGAGTGGAGAACACGCTAAAAAAGCTAACATGCCATTTGGGCACACAGTGGGCCTCATCTGCAACAAGCATGAGAACCCTCTCTTGATACAGGTTGGTAAGTAGGAGGTTTCTCCATCTGTTCTGCAAGAATTCACTGTGTCTTTGTTGCAATATTTGCGAGTTGAAAAACTATATACATAATTGCAATTTAGAAATTTAAGTATTTTCGACAGAAACTTACCAATGAAACCAAGTAAAACAGGACTCGCATTCAATCATGTCAACATATTAGGCTTCATTGCATACTGAGCATGTCCACATATTTTGCACCTCGTTCACTGAAATTCAAAAGACTCTCTCTTGGTTCACTTGAATTTTTGACAATTCTGCAGTTAAAAGTCAGGGAAAGGGGGTAATGGATGATAATAAATTATTTTCAAACGACAAATCTTTTTGATTTGTCTAAATGACAACATCTTTCAACAAGACGATTCATATAAGACAAACAATTAATCAAGATGGCTAGTATGTGCAGTATTTATGTGCATTAACACTCTTTGGTTGCTCTGGATCTTCAATTTGAAAGACCTTTAAATCATGTAAAGCATATTATTTAGTTGTTTTGTGATGATACTGACCAGATTCCATGACATTCTTCCAACTTTCAGTTGTAAAGAGATCCTTCACTTCATTCCAATTACAGTGAATTATTTCCCCAGAGATTTTTTAACTTTTGATATTTTTGCATTCTATGAGACAACCATCTTCCTGTTTTTTGTCTATTCCCAAGAATGACAAGCAGTTGCTTACATCTGCAATATGATTTTAATAACTCATGTATGATTTACAGTCTCCAACATGATTTACAATTCTGATACAGTCTCCATCTTCTGCAAGGTTCACAATTATCTAATAAGTATTTAATTACTATTGACTTATGTTTCATGTACCAGGTTTGTCAATTTCTCATCAGATGGGACTTAATTGCACCTTTGGGAATTTATTATACTGAATCCCCAATATACCTTGTTGATGGTAGTCAATTCATTGCTAGTTTCTGTAATACAAAGTATCTTTTAAAGGCAGTCTGTCCCCTCTGTGATTGGCTAACTTTAACAAAAGGCAACTCGTAGCTGCGTTGTTGTGTTGCGATGCGCTTAACTTTACAAAATGACGAGAAGATTTATATTGCCAGATATTGAAACTATGGACGAAGAAAGTAATCAGCGACAAATTTTTGTATTTGGAAGAGAGACCAGCACTCCAATTTCGACTGTGCAAAATCTGCATCAAAACAGCCAAGAACAGTTTAACAAATGAAAATGCAGGAATAAACAGAAAGATTGCTATTACGAACCTGGCAGCCTTATCTTTATATGCACTGATCAAAGCCAAAGCCAAATCATTATCGGTATGGAAACCAAGCTCTTCGCGAAGGTCTCGCCAAAATTCGAAAGTCGTCTCTAGCAAAGCCACCTTCTTGAAAGTCTCCCCTTTAAAGGGTCTTCCTCTGCCTCTCTTAGCATTTGACATTAGTTATTGAGCGTAAACACGAGAAATGATCGCAACTGCCTTCTGGTACCAAAACAAAATTCACCACAGCAACTCGCTCGCTGTGCTCAGGGAGAGTATGCGTGGTGATTCTTAATTCTGATTGGTTATCTGTGCCTTAAACCAACGATGCATGAATATCATGGCCGTGAAAAGAAATTTTGATAACAATAGGGGACAGACTGCCTGTAACAAGCTGACAAATGAAATTAGATCTCATAATAGGATGATATTGTCGACAGATATAGTTGTTGACAACTCTTTAAATCAGACTTGACTATCTGTTAAACTTGAGTATAATGTGTTTAAGATAAATGATAACACTAGATCATTGTCTCTATGACCTTTTAGGGATTTGAAACTAGGTATCTAGCTATTAAGTAAGCTTTATGTATGGTAGTTTGATATGTCTTAAAGCAAGTAAATCTTTTTTCGGCAAAAAGAGTTTTCTATGGTTGACATGTTGTGAAGTTCGGTACTTACCCTTTGATAACTTCAATGTAGATATTGGAAGAACAGTCTTTTTGCTTATTTTGCTTGGCTCTGTCGATTTTAAAGAAACAAGTTTTAATGAGGTAAATATTGTCATACCTTAAATATATTGTTCAAGAATGATTTTTATGGTAAATGCTCTAACAAAATAAATGCAGCTATGCAAAATGAACCAGCTGTTTCCTGAAGTGCTTATTGAAAACAAAGCAACAATTTTTGTTTCTTTCCCTCTTATCAAACCAATGAAAACATTCACAGAATGTTATACTAACCTGATTTTCTTTCTCATAGTGTCTTTAATATGTCCTCCTTTTCTCTCAGCGATGGCTTTGCTATCCTGGTTCTAACTGCTTTGCGTTTGGAATTTGTGGAGAAAAATCAGTGTTGCCTTTTCACATTTTCATTTGGTGCGATCTTTACAGCTGATTTCAACTCTTGCAATTTGTTTTTTCGCAGGGCATCAAAGGTGTTCCTTGCAGATGAGATTTGCTGGCTCAAGAACTTAAGTGTTTATGCCTTCCCCAACTCTGTAGCAATATCACCAACTCTCCTTTTGCTGAACACAAAATTTTTCAAAAGCAAAACCTAGCAAAATCTCTTGATCCTTCTACCGACTGTAGACGCTCCATTAATGCATCCAAGTAGTCTTGGAATGAACAAACATCTGTTTGTTCAAGGACAACACGCAGCATTTTATAGACTTCTGCATGAAGTTGCTGGCAGCTGATTTTTTGCCTTATTTCAGACTTCCATGCTTTATCAACATGCCAACTGCAAAAGAGGCGCTTTGGACTACAGTTGTTAACTTCACTGAATGCATCATAGAATTGAGGTGCAAGGTCACTCATTAGCCACTCTGATGTCACAGATCCAGAATTTTCCATGATCTTTTGAAAGAAACGTTTTAGGAATGGGAATGACTCGTGATTTGACAAGCACCAACCAACGGGTTGCAGTTCACCAAATTCATCTACCACCATGATCGTTGTTAAAAGGAAGTCATACATATTTGTGCCATGCGTTGTATCCAGACAGATGCCATTAAGTGCAAACTGCAGGTAAAGCTGTTGCTGAAGCTCCGTCTGAAGAACAATCATGAAGTCTTCGTCCTCAAATCCTTTGGCAGGCTCTCCTTGTAGCTTGTAGAACAGGACAGGATTATACAGTTGATCTTCACATTCTTGAATCCAGGAAGCAACACTGTCTTGATCATTTGGATGGCGGCGACTAATATCGAAACTGAATGAACAAGCGATGTTTGACATGTCCTGCTTCTCCATCAGGTGGATCTTTGTCAGTGTATTGCCAATATCACTGCAAATATCGTCGAGTATTCTTGAACTAGGTATTCCCTGCTGCACCTCCAGTGCAATTGCTTTGCACTGGCTTTGTCACTTTAAACGTCGCTGTGCAGTTACCCTCAATTTTGGAGGTACCTGACAAAGGAAAGATTATGTGAGATTTTGACAGACCTCTGCAGGTGAGAAGTTTTATCATTTCAAATTTTATCAGGATTTTAAATTTCATTTACCCCCCTCCTTCTGGTATTCCTCCTCTCTTATTAGATCCTCCCCTCTAACCCTAAAGTTTTTTAATAAGACTCTTTTCTTATAAGCTTGCCTCTGGAGTCCCCAAAATGGAATAAGCTTCAAAATCCTGTCGTTCATTTTGATCCTGTTGTTTATTTTGATCCAGGTGCTTAATAGATCTTTCACGGTATTATAAAAAACCATGACATTTACAGATATTTCTTTCGATTTAGAGCAACTGTTCCTGGGTTATCCATATCTATAAACTAGATAAAAGGTTTTTGAAAATGAAAATAGTGAGAATTTTAGATAAACATTTGGTGACAACATTCAAGAGACCAATTCACCGAACTAATTATCTCTGTATGGCAGTGCAATCAGTGTTTTTACCTTTTCTAAAAAAGTTTAGTTTTTACCTGAAGCCTTCATTCTGCGTTTCCCTGTCCTTGTTTTTCTGTAGGTACCACTTCTGTTACATTGATAGTATGTGGTCTTGCCCAGCTTCGTTCCAAGTTCCTCTGACTTTTGTATAAAAGTGCACTTGCACCATTCTTCAACTTCGTCTTTCCAGTCTTTTCTTCTGAAATAAAAGATTTTCTAAGAATCGTTTCTATGTTAATATTAATTTGATGGCTTCTTGATCTATATCGTACAATTGTAAATTTTCAACATAATTTTGCTCACTGTTATCTTAAACATAAAAAAAATTTGCATTTTAAGACTGAAGTTTTTATTTTTTCATATTTTTAAGCTGTAGATACTGTAGATGCGTGTCATATATTACAGACAGCACAGTATTTACCAATAAAAAGAATATTACTTGTCTCAAAACATAAATTACAATGAACATCACTGACGATTGAAAGTTCAGCGTGCCATGACATTTCTAATCCAGCTTTTAAAAATTTCATATCGCTTTTTAGACATAGTACTAAATGAATATGGATTTATGAGAACAGGCAACAAAAAGATGCGTGTTTTGTAAAGAAAATCGTAAGAAAGTGTACATCCTTTGATAGAGCGCAGCTCAAGACTTTTGTAACACATACCTCTTCTATTTTCAAATTCCAGAATCTCTGTTCTAAAGATGAACGAATGGTCGATCGATAAATGATCACGCAGCTCAACTATTCTTCTAAAACTCTGGTTGCATTCAAGACAAAGACATCTTCCAGTCTGCACTTGTTTTGCTACATTGGCGTGGTCTTTGTGTAGTCGCTTAATGTGACGTACAAGATTCGCTTTCTTGGCACAAGTCTGAGGGCAGAGTGGACACTTGAAAGAAGAAGACGATGCACTGGTCTTTGCCATACGAATTTTGCTAAAGTTTTCTGAGGAAGTTGGCTGTTGGGGTAATTCCTTAATATCTATTCCCTTCAATTTTGAATCCCCGACTTCGCTCTCAATTTTTTTTGGCTCTCTGTCTGTCGATGCGCTACTTCAAATAACGTCCTCTTATGAATCTGAATCAGACTCATCATTATTCTGTGGAACAACCATTTCAATAGTTACTTTTTTCAGCAATCCAAGTCATCAACACTGACCGAAGATACTTGGCATATTTTGATGGCTCACGGATGTATATGTTGGGAGTACCAGTTAACCTGGTCTTACTGCATATCTGTCTAGAAAATTGCATTTGATGGCAAGCAATAGATGCTACACTACAATGATGGCAACGGGACCACAAAAATGGCCCCAGGTTTGAAATGGGTACATTTTGCTGCATCCTTGTCCACAGTTTCGACGCCCATTGCGATGGCTAGCCGGGTCATGGCACATCTCAACTTCAATGTTGAAGGAATCTGGTCCGTAAATTCGGTCGACAAACATTTTGATCCTGCTCACAAGATCTTCAGGAATATCCCATCCAAGAGAATCGCCATATGTTACCTTCTTAGATGCGTGATCATAGACTGCAAGTGTCCAATGATTTCCTTGTCTGCCATCACTGCCACAGAAGGTTTTGTTATTATTGCCCAAGCCAATGTTAACAACGAAGCACAGATATTCGGGCAGGCGATCATGTTTTACAGGATTTTGAAAATTCAAATAGATGCATTTGACTGTAGACTGTTCCTTGTTCAGAAATTATTTGACAAGATTAATGTGGTCAGGGTGAATGTATCTGTTACAACAAAGCTGTGCAAGGATACCCAGATAAACCCTGTAATCAGGAAGCGTGCTAAGATTTGCATTGTTCCAAATCAGAGAATTTAAGCAATTGATTGCAACAGTCGACAGATGGACGGACATAGATCTTGGGGCAAGCTTTGGTGAATTGAAACACGCGATCTCTTGTTCCACTGCTGCTTTGACACCCTTGACCGTGTGAAGAGACAAAAAATGGTTCGCCTGCCCATATCCTATTGGGCCAATTTCAGTATCTACGTAATAAAATCCAGTTGCTATCCTGCCCATTTTCGATAATTCACTTGACCACCTTATCAACTGGGAACGAGATGGAAGAGATTCTGACGAAAATGGATTTATTGTTCTCTTTACACCATTGATGCGTTTAATAGATTCATTGCGCACAGCGGGAACATACTGATGACGACTTTCAAGTGCTTGCCTTGTCGTATATGTCTTAATATGTGTTGCGTCAAAAGTGATTGTGTTTTGCAGAACAATATTCTGATCATGAGAAAATATATTAATATGATATCAGGAATTAATAAAGGCGTTTTTCGCATGGTATGATGGGTGTTCTTATTTTGTTTAATTTTGTTGATTACAAAAGTACGTTTATTTGGCGATGTAATCTTTCCTGTTTCTTCATTTCAAGCGAATAACCCTTTAAATTAAGGAATAAATAAAAATACTGTACACTCGCCGTTATTTTTTGGCTTTGTAGGAACAAATGCTACCAGCTATTTTTTACTTGTAAGACCTCATCTCATAACTTAGCTTATCACTTTAATTATAAGATTACTCAAGGGGCGCTTCACTTCTTTAAGGAAATCCGTAGAAATCCCATACAAGTCCTACAAGTCTTAAGACTAATTCAAGAATAATTTAAGAATAATTAAAGCATCATCAATAATTATTTTTTTGTTTATTGAGTTTTTTGGAAAGCAAAACAAATGCGTATTTCATGCTACATGTTTTGAACTCTTACTAAATTTTTGTAGATGATAGTGAGGACTGCATAGAAGTTGATGAATTAGACGGAATTAAGATTGTGCTAGATTAAGTTTTATATTTTTTCTATATTTATTGTGCTGTTATTTTCTGTTCTGTTCTGTCTTGCTCTGTTCTGTTCTGTTCTGTTCTGTTCTTGTTTCATACATCAATAAAGATTTGAATTTTTTCTGTGATTTTCAGGTAATTTACACCTTATTTCGCTTGAGAATCATTTTAAAACAATCTTAGGCTCAAACTAATTAGCAAAAGTATGAATGCGTTGGGTCTGGTCTACGATACATGGCATTGTAGCGTGGCTAAAATGTTCATTGCTTCTAAATCTTGCTCACAAACCTTCAGCCTGGGGTTCTATCTTATTACACAAAATAACGCGGAACAAGTTAATTCGATCACAAATTAATGCTAATAGCTAATCTTAGTTAGTTAACGCTAATCAAGGAATTTCTAATATTCAAATAGTATTTAATTAACGTGACGTTCCAATGTCAACAAAACCATTTTTTTGCTGGAACACATTCAAATTAAGTACAGAAAAAAGAAAAAGAAAATAACAAAACAAATTTTAAGTCAAGGTGGATTGGATATAGTTGTGTGCCAGCTGTCAGTATACATGCCTTACATTGCCAAACTTATGGTGTACATGGATTTTTACTGCAAAAATTACAAGGACTGGACATCTTTACTGCTCGCATCCCCCCCCCCAAAAACCCCCCCACCAAAGAATAACTATTGGGCATTTTTCTCATGGTTTTGCATTTGGCTAGGACACTATGATCAAAGATGCCTACCATGTCCAAGATGAACAGTGTTCCGGTAATTATAACGGCCCAGCCCCCTTGCTTGACCCCTGTTTTTAAATCAAGGGGGTGTATGAGAAATTTGATGACCCCTGTCTATGCTATGTTTTGATTCAGGAAGATTGGTTTTGAGCGCTTGAATTTCTGCAAAAAGCTTCTAGGTGGACTTCTGGGGGACTACGCTTGTTTGCTAACAACAAAATTCAGCACTTCAGACGATACGACCTTGAAAATGATGGCATACAAGCTATATGGATAGAAATTGCATTCTCTAACACAAGGTCTATAATCCTTTATCATGGTTATAGACCAGAATATGTGTCTGTTTGTGATTGGTCTGAGAAAATTGAAGCAAGCTTAGAAAGGGTGTTTGCAGAAAATAAAGAAGTTATTATCATGGCTGACCTGAATATTGATTGGAAGGGCATTGATAAAAATGAATACCACCCTTATCGTTGGCTTTCTGTTAGAGCAGATGATAGCAGAACCAACAAGAGTCACTGAGACAACCAGTACTCTCTAGATCATATCTAAATTTCACAAAAAGAGTGTATCAGGGCAACAAAGGTACCAAAAATAGCTATAAGCGATCATTATCCTATATGTGCTGTCTGGAAGCTCAAGTTTTCCCAAAAGTAACAGCATACCCATATAAAATATAGATCCATGAAGAACTTCAATGAACAGAAATTTAGAGAAGATTTAAAAGAGGTACCTTGGCATGTACTGGACATAGTTGAGAACCTAAATGATGCACTAAGTGCTTGGAGGAGCCTTTTAATGGATTTTCATGGGGCACTAAGTCGATAGTCATGCAGCACTGTGTAGTAGAAGAGTAAGGCCTAGGTTAAACGTCGCTCTTCTCATGTGCCGAACCCAATACAGGTAGATGTGACTGAAGAGCGACTGTGGAGCGGCACGGAGTTAAACGTCGCTCCAAGCATCTTAGCAACGAGTGACCAATGAAGCACAACAACAGCAACTGTGTCTAGTTTTGGTTTTTGGCGCGTAATAATGGCAGGCAGGAATATAAGCAGAGCTCTGGTGTTGAAAAAAACGATTTCTGCAAATCGAAGACGTCGTAAAATGCTTCAATATGGCGTAGCATTATTACTTAAACATCAATCGATGATAATTGCTTATTGCCTCGCAGCCACACTCGCGTTTGCCCAACACAACCAAAGAAGGATAGTTACCCGATCATGCAGGAGGCTCAAGAGAAACGAAGGATGGTGGGAATTGTTATGGGATAATTATGACGACGACCGCTTCAAGAAAACTTTTAGAGTATCAAGGGAAACTTTTAACTTCGTCCTTGAAAGCATCCGCCACAAGCTTGAAAGAGATACATTGTGCGAAGAACCATTTCCACCTGAGCTTCGTCTTGGCCTATGTTTATATCGCCTTGGGAGAGGCGATTACTTTTATACAATTGCAGAAATGGCCGGGCTTGCTCCTTGCACAGTGTCAACCATCGTTCATGATGTAAATGAAGCCATTGTTTCCTGTTTATGGAAGAAATGTGTCAGTGCGCACATGCCAGTATCTGAAGAAGATTTTAATAACAAAATGTTGGACATGGAGGAAATCTGGCAGTTTCTCTTCAGTTGGTGTGCAGTAGATGGCTGCCATATTCCCATTAAATGCCCCCCTGGTGGACAAGAATCTTCCAAAGAGTATCATAATTTCAAAAACTTTTATTCAATTGTTCTTATGTCTATGGTAGATGCTAGGTATCGATTTATTTGGGGAAGCTGTGGATTTCCAGGAAATTCACATGATTCAATAATTTTACAGTCAACTTCTCTGTGGTCTTCAATTAAAGAAGGAAAAGTTCTCCAAAATTTTGCCCAGTGTGAAGAAGATGTTCACATTCCACCAATAATACTTGGCGATTCAGCTTTTCCATTTGGAACATTCTTAATGAAGCCTTACACCAATGCTGTCCTGAGCAAAGAACAGAGATATTTCAACTACCGACTGAGTCGTGCCAGAATGGTGGTTGAAGGAGCATATGGGCAGTTGAAGGGGCGTTGGCGATTGTTGTTGAAAAAATCAGAGGGAAATCTCTATCAGACAAAAATGGCAACACTTTCTTGCATGGTACTCCACAACCTCTGTATTGAAAAGAATGATACTATTCCATCAAAGCTTGATTTGTCTGTTGATCCTTCAACGCAACAAAAGCGAGACAGAGCAACACTATGCAATGTTTTGCTAATGAAAGCTTCTCACAAGATTGTTGACCCAAGAAGGAATCAAGCAGATAAAATCAGAACAACAATCACTAGAAAACTGCAGAAAGAACTACAGACCCTTAATTTCAACGAAACATTAAGTGCTAATTAACACTTTATTGATAAACCAAACAATGAACAACTTTTTTAACAAACAAAACTACTACACCTATGCAATAGACTAACCAAATTATTATGCCAGATGGATGCTAGAAATTATTGATATCTTTTTTCCCATGTTTCTACTTCTAAACTGTTTTATCTTAATCAATTCTATTGAAGATAAGTTGTGCCAATAATTTGATCAGAAGCATTAAACCTATTATTCATTATGCTAACCCCAGCAAAACTCACTGTTTAGGCAATCCCGAAATATAAATATCTTAGTAAAACAGTATTAAGACACTGCAGGTCAAAACCTAACCAATTGATAAATAGAAAAGGAAAATTATAAAAAGAACATTCATATAGTAATAAAGAAACTGTAACTACAAGTCCAGCATATAGGGAGCTGATTGTTGACAAGATCAAATTCATATATAAGGGGCTTTATAGCAAAAATGTATGTCTTGCCAAACCTGTACTGAATATTCCAAACTTTTATAAATTTTGTTGAAACTTTATTATGATATATAATCACTAAAGGCTTTTAAATATTTCTAATTATGTTATTCTTGTTAATGTTCAGAAATGATCATTATTTGTATATGTCTAATGATTTTACTATGTTAACATTAAAATTGATAATAGGAAGAAAAGTTGTGCATAAGTTGTTGACCCTGAATGTTAGCATAGTTAGCTTGCTGTGGTGGGTTTTGTGCCTTCATCAAAAGTTGGACAAGTTTCAGTTCGTGCTGTCTGGATTTCTCTGCTTCTTCTCTAGCAAAGGCCAAAAAATCACTCATTGGATCTTTTTCAACAAGTTTATTCATCATTTCCATCAGATCATGGAATTGGCCTTCTTTTCTTGTTTTTCTTCTTTTGGCTGGCACCGGCACAAATAACTCTTGTGAGTCTGATGATGTAGCTGGTGATGCACCACAAGGTATAGGTGATTGTGCATCAGATTGAGCAATGGCAGAGGGTTCAATTGCTTGCTCTGGTTGACAAGATTCTCTTGTCTTTACTAAAGCAAACAATTGGTTGAACCACGTGCCATACCCATGATGATCCTGGAAGCGTTTAATTCCACTTCCAGTCTTTATCAACAAAGCTGCCTTTTTGCATTCAGCCACAGACTTCTTGAATTTTGTCCTTAGTTGTATAGCTGTGTAAGGGCATTCTTCATTTCGTATCGATGACTGGCTCTTTAACTCTGTTAGAACTTTTTGGTATATTTCCCCATTCTTTCGATTTCTTGTGTTTGTAAAAATGAGTTTTTTCTTAAAGTAATCATCATTTGCAATAATGTCTATCAGATTATTCAATAGACTTTCTGGCCATTGTGCTTTTCTACCTGGCTTCTTCTTCCTTTTGCTTTTTTTGCCTTTGAAGATATTAAGCATTTCATCTTCATCTCCACTTGCCAGACTCTCATCATCACTTTCATATTGAAGGGTTGCGGTATTTATCCTGAAGTGAAAGAAGATAAATTATCATTAAAAAATTCTTGATGCCAGTATATACTGTTAGTCTAATTTTATTTTTCGTGGCACTGATATAAACTCATTTATTGGTATAAGAATACCTTCAATTTGTTCAGGCTTGATATTCTTAAGAAATATCCTTGTTAGGTCTTATTATATTCTTAAATTATTGCTTGTTATTTCAAACCTGGTATGGTTTCAGACAGAAATGACACTCTTAAATGGATTTGTCAGCTAAATCCAAGCAATATCCTTACGATTTTCTCAAAAATTGGATGATCCTGAGCTTGAATATTCTTATTACTCCAAAGAACTGAAGCCACGTTTCCTTTTAAAATAATTTTATTGGAAATTATTCTTGGATACGTCTCTGGCTTTCTTCAAAATGTTTTTTAACACTGCTTTATTCAAAATTGTCAGCAAGTGTGTATTATTTACACATAAACCACAAACCTGGGTGATGTTTTCGTGGCCCTTTTGTCCGGTATTTCGTTCTCTGCACCTTCTTCTTTGGAACATTCGCCGCAATATCCAACGCTTCTCCCGGACGACCATCCTGGAGTCTCTTCATTCTCTTCTGCATAACTGCACACGTTACAAATAGGAATTCTGCAATTCATGCAAACATATTTGGTCTCTTTCGTACACTTGGAACAGAAGTCGGTTTTGGGAATACACGATGCCATTTTATTCCTGCCTTGTAATTGGCGCCAAGTGACGAAAAATCATTCCTGTGCATGCACTGCCTCGTTTAAGCGGAAAATAAATTATTTTACAATATTTGTAATTTATGCATTGGGTTCGGCGCATGAAAAGAGCAGCGTTAAATTTGAAGTCGCTCCAGAGCCGCATAATGCGACAGGATCAGCCGCTCCAACTCAATTCTGCTGCACTTAATCAAATCAGTCGAATTCAATCAAGTTAAACGTCGCTCTTCTCATGCGCCTTATTCAAGTAATAGGTTCGGCGCATGAGAAGAGCGACGTTTAACCTAGGCCTAAAACATCCAAAACAATCTGACTGGATGACTCCTGATATCATTCAAGCTATTAATGAATAAGACTGATTAAAAGCAGCTGGTTTTCATAACAAGGCTAGAATATTGCACAATGAAGTTGTTGGGCTTATAAAAGGACTGATTAAAACAGGAAAGCATTGTGGTCCTACCTTTAGAATTTAACACCAAAAGAAAAATCGCAAGAGCCAATATTTATGAGCAGTGATGGAAAGCATATAACTGACAGTGCTCAAATTTCCAACCATTTCAATAAACATTTTGTAGTCATTGTTGAAAAGTAGATACCAGAAGTGTCTGGAAACCTTATGCCAAACTTCTTCTTCTTCTTCTGCGCCTAAGCCTATGTAGGCCGTAGGTGCGCCCAACCATGCACAGAGCTCCGCCACTTCTCCCTATCCATCGCCATTCTTGATAGTTCTCGCAATCCCTCTCCAGTCCACTCCTCGATGTCGTCTTCCCATTGCCTTCTTGGTCTGCCTCTTTCCCTTGCGCCCTCAACTTTCCCTTGGATCAATGTCTTTGTCATCGCTGTTGGTTTCCTCATCTGGTGTCCAAAGTACTTCAGCTTCCTCTTTTAGACTGTCTCTGTAATTGATTCCGGCCTGCCGCCCAACGTCTCCGTCACTTTATTCCAGACAAATTCATTCGTTTTCCTCTCCTGCCAGCTTATTTTCATCATCCTTTGGTAAGATTTCATCTCGAAGGCCTTCAGCTTTTCCATGCTCTTCTTGTTCATTGTCCAGCTTTCACATCCGTATAAGAGTGTCGCCCAAGCAATTGCCTTTGTGATTTTCATGGGATTTTTCAGGCTAATGCCTTGTAGTCCCCACATTGAGTTCAGCCTAGCCATAGCACTTGTTGCAGCTCCAATTCTATTCCTGATTTCTTGGTCCGAGTTTCCATTTTCCGTGATGGTTTCTCCCAAGTACTTGAAACTCTTGACCTGTTCAAGTTTCCCATCACCGATGACTATTTCCAGTTGGATGTTATCTTCTCCGTTCCCTGTGACCATTGTCTTGCTCTTCTCCCTGCTAATTTCCATTCCAAATCTTTGTGAGGTGTCATGCAGTCTGTTGGTTAGATCCTGCAGTTCTTCTTCATTCTTTCCAATCAGGTCGATGTCGTCTGTGAAGCGAAGATTGGTTACTTTCAGTCCTCCACAGCTCACTCCAGTATCATCTAGCTCTTCGATCGCTTCTACCATGATTCGTTCAAGGAACAGATTGAACAACGTCGGTGACAGGATACACCCTTGTCGTACTCCGACAGTCGCTCTGAACCATTCGCTGAATTCTTCTCCGGTAAACATTTTGGTCGTTGCTTGCTCGTACAGACTCATGATTGTCTTCGTGATTTGTTCACCGATATTGAACTTCCTCATCGTGTGCCACAGCGCTTCATGCCACACCCGATCAAACGCTTTTTTAAAGTCGATGAAGTTGTGACATATTACTCTTTGATGGTTCCTTGTTTTCTCGCATAAGAGCCGAAGATTGGTGATTTGGTCCGTGGTGCTTCGGTCCTTTCTGAAGCCAGCCTGCATCTCGCTCAGCACTTCCTCAATTTTTAGTAATACTTTTGAAGCGTGGCTGATTAGGCTTATCGTTCTGAAGTCGCTGCATTTCCTGCTGTTCATCTTCTTGGGGATGGGTATGAGGATGGATTCGGTCCATTGTGTCGGCCAAACACCACTTCTGAAAATGAGATTGCACAGCATGTGCAGGATCTTCACGGTGTCTTCTCCTCCACATTGAATTAGTTCGGCATTGACATTGTCTGCTCCAGGACTCTTGTTGGTTTTCAGACTCCTCACTGCGAGCTCTACTTCTGCTCTCAGGATCTCGCCTTCATGATCTTCTTCCCTGGCTTTCTTGCCAAACTTGCAGAGGCTTAAATCCTTTATCGAATCAAAAATTAACAGATCTACTAAATTCTCAATACCATTAATAACAGAGGAATACGTATTAAAGGAAATAAATGCCATGCCTATGAAAAATTTTCATTTTGGCTTTTTCAGCTGTTCTAAAACTGATATCAACTGAGTTTTATGTTGTAATTTTTAGGCATTTTGAAGCCTTACCAACTCTGCCCCCCTTGAGGGAAATAACTAAATCACGGGGAAATAAATCCAAATCAGTAGCGTCGTGACTGGTTACCACTGAATCAATGTATCTTCGTACTATTCTTACAATTTCAAACCAACTTTTGTCGTTCACCCTGTCAGAAATCTTTAAATAGGATACAAACTCAGTTAACTGTTCAGGCATTTGCTGACAAAACAGCAAGTCAAACTGCAAGTGAAGGGTTTCAAGCTGAGATTTTGACATGGTGAATTCGCAAATGCAAAGTTTGGGTTTAGTTATGTCAGAGAACGTATCAAATGAACGTTAATATTAACATAGCCTCGGCTCTGAAAATCAATCACAAACAACTTTATTGCGACCTCTGCATTGCGAATGAAATAAACATACTGGTTACTAGATAAAAGGCTACTTTTGTTGTTTTTCATTTTAAGAGACTCTCATTTTAAGAAATTTTCAGTAAATAACTATTAATGATGTTTATTGCTAGATGTGTGCATAAAAGTTCAATAATTATCACAATATTAGAATAATTAGTATAACAATACAACAAAATTGGTACTATAACAATACGACAAAAGTGGTACTATATTGAAGACAGTTATCTCAGCATCCATACAACAGAATAAAATGGAATTTCTTGTGATAATAGATAAGAGAGTAAAGAAGCGCTGTAACTAATCTTGTGCTTTTTCTTTGAAGCTTTAAAAAATAAGAGCAATTTTGACTTATGGTCGATATTATCGTCTCGATGGTTGTTAATTGAATCACTGTAATTAAGGTCCTGTATTAGTATTAGTTATAGTTCAGTCCTGTATTAGTAACAGTTCTGAATTTAGTACAGTATCTATACCAAACCTATTTTGCTGTCTCGTGAAAATTTCAAGTAAATCAACCAGAGGAGTTTCAATATAAGTGTCTCTAAAATCTATAACATTGTCAAGATGTATATTTTGTTAAAACGCAGTTTTATTAGTCAGTAACCTTTTCTTATTCAAAAGCCACCAGCAACATAGGATTCCCCTCCTTCTCTTTATCTAGAAATTCTTTCTTGATGTGTCACAATCTTTTCCTCCTTCTTTTATTTGATTCTGACTCCATTTTATTTCTTTGCATCTGCCTTTTACGCATTTTATGAATGCTCTTCAGTGACATGTCCAGGTTGATACAAAAATAATTCAAAACATTATTTATTGCATGTGGGCAATCATTATAATCAATTATTGCATTGTTCACTCCAATTTCTAAAACTCTACTTTCTACATAAATTTGTTTAGGGTATTTCCTCCAAATTATATTGTTAATTGACTCATTACAGCTCTGAGTCTTTCCATGGGGGCAAGAAGCTCTGTCTAAGTTAGATCTTCAAATATTGGTTTCAAAAGTTTGAAAATCCAAACTGGTAGATTGATGGATTTTGTAGAAATACTCCCCATAGAATACTGATACATTCGTGATGAGTGATGAATATCTCTTGAAGACCCAACTAAGTGTTTCATAATCGCTAAACCAAAGTTTGTACACAGTCTCGCTTATTTAAACTATAATGGGTTTGCAGCGTCCAAATCTAAAACATTGATAATCAATGTAGTCCAGCTTGTTATATGTTGATTAGTCTGAAAGTCTAACTAGAAGGGTGACTAGCAAATTAAGTAGAAGGATATAGAAATGAGGGAATTTAGGGGGAGGAGGAAGCAACAAGAAAATTTTTTTGACTGACAAAGAACACTTCTAGCGACCTAATTCATGGTGCTAAGCACATAATTTGATTATTTTGTTGTTGTTAAATTAGGTTTCTCCAGGAAAGCAAGGAAAGGTAACATAATTATTTTCAACTGGAAGATTCAGTTTGTTATCTATTTTGATATTTTGTATTCTCTGAGACCCTACAATTTAAACATATTTATGGGAAGAAGGCTCAATATACCCCTGCAGCAGTTCTAATATATGATGCTTTAGGGTCCAATTCAAGTTAGCATTTTTGTCTTGTTCATTCCCACATACCAAACATATTGTCTGTTTATGTTTACAGCGCAGGTTTGATAGGACTTGCCTTTCCTTAAGCTAAATTCACACTAGAAGCGCATCAAACAGCGTTTTTCAAGAATGGAATTCAAGCGTTCATATCTAGTGCTTCACTTTGCGTTTCCTTTTAAAAAGTACAATGGCGGTGATATTGGACTTAATTTCAGTTGATGTCTCAAGAATTTGAAAATTCAAGCTAAAGCAGCTTGGATTAGCTCTCAGTACATTTATTTCATTTAACACTGCCCTGGCTCGTTCTACTTTCTATCTTTATCAGGTCAGCAAAAATCTGTTTGAAATAGTCATTGCAAAAGGCATTGAGGGAAGCATTCTGTGTGCCCATTCTCTGCAGTTCGAGAATATTTGTACGAAATAGTGTTTCTTTAGCGATATTGGCTCAGGCACCTAGTTAATAGAACACCATTTCAGTGTTTTCAAAAGCCCGGTCATGCCTCTTGTCCCGCTATTGTTTACAAAGAAAGAAGAACAGCTTGCTTACAAAACTCTTCTATTGTTCTGATGTGGCACATTGCGGAAAAGTTGGATAAATCCAACTTTGCCG